TCTGACAGCCCTGTTAATGTAACAGTTTTCATATGTATAAACCAGAGCAAGACTGTACTTGATTTATGAAATGTTTAGTTTGGTAAATGTTCTTATTGTAAAAGTTATACAGTTATAAATAACATTTGCCTATTCATATTCTAACTAATCCAGTTTAAGGTCTCAGGCCTTGGAGCCTGTCCAAGACAGCATAGGGCACAAAACTGGGAGACTCCTTGTACGGGAAACCAGTCCTTTGCAGGGCAGACACCAGCATCATGAGTTCATGACACAGGCAATCAAATTTAATTATTTTACAGGCTGATGAGAAATAAACTGGACTAGACTGTTAGCCCATAGAACTAGAATTGCGAATCACTGCCCAAGTCCGATTTTACCTGTTCATTCATTCATTAACTTACCTGCTCATCTATAGACAAAAAAAAAAAAAAAAGTCCATGCTGCTTTTATCCTTCACCAACACAAACACCAATGGTCGCTCCACAATATATTGCAAATACTTAAATTCGGGCGCATTTTAAAGATGTTTCATTAAGGAAATGCACAGTATTACATGAACACATATCCTGGCAATTATTCAGCAGTCCTATAAAAGGATGCTGGGTCCTTTGTTAAAAGTGAAGCAGCGCTTGAATGCCCCAGAATATCTTAACATTTTTTCAATGAGGCTCATCCCTTCGCGGTGGCAGCACATCTATCTGTGAATGGATTTTTTGGTAGGACGATGCCCCATGACATGAGGCCAAGATAGCCCAGAAAAACTTTCACAAACATGACAAAGAACTGAACTTAACGTAACGCCCTACAGGAAACTATGTGGGATGAGACTGAGCAATATCTTCTAAGTAGATATCCACCACCTAAATCAACACAACAGGAGGAAGCACTCAAGCCAGCCCAGAGAATCCCTGTGGAAGGGTTTCCAAACCTGACTGGGTTCACACTCCAACAAAGTTGAGGCTGCTGTTATGGGAGAAGCAACACACCGTGATATAAAGAATGTTTTGTGTGGCAGTGCCTGGCTACTAAAACAGCTGGACACAGTGTGACATGATGACCTGCTGGGATTCTGCTGCGCACCTGCAAGTCGGTGCTAAATGTGGTTTCCTCATCGCCGACTTCAGGAAGACATTTCTAGTGACCGATAATTTCTCCAACCAGGAATGGGATAAATTTTCACTTGTATGGTTTAAAACCTATGCTGAGACGAAGCTGGGGGAAGGGAAAGGGTAAGTGAGTCATGCATGCACACTATCTGCAGATGGATACTGGGGGATCGGCCCCCTGCACGCAATCTCCTGCTTCCAAAGGAATACAGGGGGGTGAGCAAACAGATTCCCTTTTCTATAGTGTTTCCTTGTTCCTTGAATGAACCAAAGCCCGTCAAGAGCCATTTTTCTGTACCTTTGTCTCCGGAGTCTCCTTGCCCAACACAGTGAATTCTAAAAGACACATGCATAATATATAACTTCATATCCATAAAAATCCAGGTTTTCATGAGACACTGATGTTAACATGCATTTATAAAGAAGCTTGATTAACGTGTTTAATATTTTTATATACATGATTACATTATGGAAATATGTGCTGATTTTTGCTATCAAAATTGGAAATAAAATAATCTTGATGGAGCTGTAAAATTCTGTCTCAGGCACATTGCAGAGTCTGCACTTGAGTTGAAAAAAAGATCGTATGAATGATAAGTGTTTTAATTCACACCATGCGGTGTCCACTTGTGCCCTCGGTAAGTGGACATTGTCATTCCAGAAGATTCCATCAGAACAGGAATTTTTCACCATGGGGAGAATGTGATCACTCATACTGTACTAGTTTTATTTTCGTGGGAATTTATTTTGCCCTCTTAGAGCTAGAGCAATCCAACACAAGACCAAGGAAATAAACTCTGTGTCATAACAGACCTGTCACATCCCTTAAAACAGACCTGTCACATCCCTTAATTGTGAAATAAAAAACACTCAAGGTGGAAGCATGAATCACATGATTTTTTTCCCCCATTGCTCAACAGAGCAGTGCCTGTATTCTTTGCATAATTTTACTTGTAATTAAAATTATCAAGATTGAGTCTAAACTCTGATAGTTCATATTAATATAAATATGAATTTAGAAAGGGGAAAACACACACACACACTGACACTGAGATCAATGCTTGAAACAGTCAGAATTAGGTAATTTTTCATTGTAGGTCTTGTCCCTGGTTCCTCATTCTTTTATGCTATGTACAGAGAACTTTTCAGCTCAGTTTCAACTTTGCTAAGTACCAAAAGCCAGAGACTGCCTGCAACAGGGCCACTAATGTTGATATTTCACCACTTTTCTAGGCAGTGTCATCATGCATTTGTGAGAGTTTTATAGAAAAATGTTTCAAATAGCAGTATTTTTAGATGTGTCCAGAGGGATGCAGACCTGTCAGTCTGAAATAAAAAGCAGGATTACTGCAGTCTGCTTCTATTTTACTTTAATGATGTTTTCTATCTTGTTATGCCAGGATTATTACTTCATGGCATTTGTGCATTTAGTCTTGAGCTGTAGTAATAAGCATTATCATTATTAAACATTTTAAATAAAGAAATGATTTTTGTACCTTAATATTTCTAGTAGAATTAAGTTTGGAGTTTACTTGCATTTTTTTCTTAATGTCATGACCATTTACATATTACTATTTATCTAAAAATGTCAGTATCTGAGCTATGGGTTTGCAGTGAAGCTGCCTGTTCCAGAGGAATTTCAGGGATTAAACCATTCCCTGTGACAGCATTATTTTGGTATATGTGCCAGTGGCACGCACATTAAATACCACAGTCATCCTCCATGATCACTGGAGAAGGTGGGGGGACCCAGGGTTGCCCAAAGTCAGGCAAAGAACACATTCATGCACTGCCCCAGAGTCATACTACTCCACTATTACTCTGGGCTCCAGCCGGCCCCCCCAGATCCCAATACCTGAAGTAGAGATGCAGTGTTATGTGGCTAAAAGCTACATTCAGGAGGAAGTAATAGATTACTAAGAAACTTTTTCCAGTATCATATCTATATGTGACCTTACAGGTTACCAAATGGACATTAAAATAGCATACTTGGGGGTCAAAATACATGCTGAACTTTACTGAGGGCTTTGGAGTCGATTCTAAGACTGGAGAGAAACTTGTGTACAAGTTAAAAAAATCCCTCTATGGCTTGAAACAGTCTGGCAGAAACTAGTACAAAGTTGTGCATGATCACCTGGAACAAAACAACTTTCAGAGAAATCAAGCAGTTCATTGTATAAATCTGTGTATACATTTGTGTATAAAAACTAAATTGGAGATAATTAATTGTATTGATAATTTGGGTTGATAATTTAACCATAACAGCAAGCAAACTAAACATGAAATGCCAATTCAGCATAAAAGATTTAGCGAAGATGTCATACTTCCTGGGCATTCATTTCAAGCAAAAGTGTGAGGAGATCAAAATGAATCACAAGACCTACATCCTAAAGATGCTTGAAAGATCTGGTATAACAGATTGCAAGCTAAGTCAGATGATGATCGCCATGATTCTGTTGATCACATGAAATATCAGAAAATTGTGGGGAGCCTGATATAAGTTATGATACATGTAACATAGAATATCACAATCATTAGCAAACCACCAAACAGGAGACTTGATTGCTGCTGAATGTGTATTAAGATATCTGAAGGGCACTGAGTTTTGTTTCAGGAAATCTAAGGTGGGCTTGGGTATAATTGCTTTCAGTGACTCTGATTGGACACCTGGTACAGCAGCACTACTGGTTATTGTTTCAGTCTGACCATTCAAGGCCCTGTTATTTCATGGAAATCTAAGAAACAAGCCACTGTAACATTGTCTGTATACAAGGCTGAATACAAAGGGCTACCATTCACAACTCAAGAAAGAGTTGTCATTAAGAAAAAGAAAACTTGTTTAAAATTGTCTATTAATAATTTACAAAGTGTTACAACCTAATTAATAACCAGATAATAAACCATTCATAAACTCTTTATATGGGTAGCCTTATTGTAAAGTGGCACCGAAAGCACATATTAAAGCCAGCTGTTAAATGGAGAGGAAGTATTACAATTACACAAAAATCAATGGTGACAAATTGTCACTGACAATCAAGGAGCTATTTTTACTGAGTAAGAACCCAGTGAACAGAGTATAAGAGCTTTTTATTCCTAAAACATCTACTGTACCCCTCTGAAATATGAAAACCCGAACCGAAGTAAATGTTACATTAAATATAATTTAATAGAAACACATCATGGGGGTAGTGGAGACTGGATAGATGGTATTATGAGGAGCATTTAATGGTATCAGTTGGTAAAACACATTAAACCATATGTAAATGCTCTTACAGAAAATACCTTACCCAAAGCGGATTTTGAGAATTTCTTTCTGTTATGACAGCCCCCATGTTGTGGTGTTACAAGTGTGATAAGTTGCAAATGCGCAATTATTATATGTAATTTTCCTTTCCGTACCAGATAAAATCTCCATTTAACAGAAATGGATAGATGACGTCACCAAATGCGCGCTCCTCTCTTGAACTACTTGGGGGATGATAGTTGGCACTATATTCTCTATCGGAAGCTGACGGGGGCTATATGAAGCGATCCCAATTGTGGTAAGAACATTTACAAAAATCTATTATTGTTTGAGCAACTATTTTAAGCCTTAAAACGTCATTTAGACGCCAATGCATTTCTTTATAATATTCACTGTAATTATGTGTATGGCATACTTATTGGGAATAATTAATGTAGTTCATTTTAATTAATAAACCCCTGTGATTCTGATTAATTATACAATTTTTATTTATCCTATTCTGTTTCCAAGATCTCATCATGTGCATCGCCCGAGGTAAAACAGATTTATCTGAACAACGTAAAACAATTAGAAATCCGGAATTAACAAGTTGAGAAAATTTTAAGATAGATTATATATTCGATTAATTTTCTCAACATAGCCAAGTAGTTATGGAAAATATATCCAACTCGGGCAACTTGCTCTCAGCATGCTACAATTCTATGGACTTCAACTCTACCAATTGTACATCTTCGGATCAGTTTTTATTGAACCCGGATTTTTATGTTATTCTGCCCGTCTTCTACTCAGTGATTTGCGCTGTAGGTTTGACCGGCAACACAGCGGTCATTTACGTGATTCTAAAAGCCCCCAAAATGAAGACAGTCACTAATCTGTTCATCCTGAACTTGGCGATCGCGGACGACCTGTTCACGTTGGTTCTCCCCATCAATATCGCGGAGCATCTCTTGCAGTACTGGCCGTTTGGTGAGGTGCTGTGCAAAATCATTCTCTCCATAGACCACTATAACATCTTCTCAAGCATTTACTTTCTCACTGTGATGAGCGTGGACCGCTACCTCGTTGTCTTGGCTACGGTGCGATCGAAGCGGACGCCGTTCCGAACGTACAGAGCGGCCAGAATCATCAGCCTCTGCGTCTGGGTTTTGGTCATTCTCATCGTCTTGCCCTTCACCGTGTTTGCCGGCGTCTATATAAACCCCGATGACACGGAAAGGAAGAGCTGCGTCCTGAGTTTCCCTAGTCCGGAAAGTTTGTGGTTCAAAGCCAGTAGGATTTACACACTTTTACTGGGTTTCGCCATACCCGTATCTACCATTTGCCTCTTGTACGCGATAATGCTTTACAGACTGAGAAACATGCGCTTGAATTCCAACGCGAAGGCGTTAGATAAAGCGAAGAAAAAGGTGACCGTCATGGTGTTCATAGTGTTGGCAGTGTTTCTGTTCTGCTGGACCCCGTTCCATCTCAGCACCATCGTGGCTCTCACCACCGACCTCAGGACAACTCCTTTTTTGATCGGAATATCTTATTTTATCACCAGTTTGAGCTATGCTAACTCATGCCTAAATCCCTTCCTTTATGCTTTCCTGGATGATAGTTTTAGGAAAGCATTCAAAAAAATGCTAGAATGTAGACCTGCTTGAACTTCTGGAAGAAGAGAATGAAACTGCAGTAAAAAATAATAATAACTTGTCTTGACAATTACCTTGACACTTTTGAACACAAACAAATTTTAATTAATTTCTCGTTTTATTTTTATGTACTTTTAATATGAGTCTTGCTCTTTTTGTTTAATCACGTGTTACACGAATTAAAATGGGAAAGCTTTATTCGTCATGATGAATGTAAGGGTTTGTCTCCCCCTCGTGTTCAATGAGAGGCAACAGAACTGAGGAGGTGAACTCGAGTTTGAACAACGAAACGACACAAATCTGTATAATACAAAAAGTATAGGCCTACAACTGCCGCCATAAAACTATGTATATCATATATTTTTTATTATGCCACTGTATCACTTTTAAAGGTGTTATGTATGTTGTATTTTAAGTATTCCTGTAATTATATTATTCAAGATCAGTTAATGAGTTAATGAAATTCTTCCATTGATCATCCCCCAATATTATATTCAGAATGGAATTTGTTTGGTACCCATCTGTACAACTGTGGAAATTGACTGTTCTGTTTTTATTGTTTTCGTTCAAATAAAAAAGTGAATAAATCTTGCAGATCTAAGTATTACTTGAGATACAAGTTAAGACCAAATACATACAAGAAAAGTTCAGGCTGGCAGTCATGCGTAGTAGTAGCGGCGTGACCATCCATGCTGATACACAGTTACACTTTCTAATCTCACCAGATTGTAATATTTTGCCTTACGAGTCAATGATCAGGAAACGGTGCTGGATTTTGCCAAGCGGGGAAAGGGGGAATGGGACTCCTGCAATAAATTTTACCACCCATATCTTAACAGATTCATAGTCATGTCTTATCAGATTCATCCCAACAACAGAGTGTACACCTGACATTATGCGCATAACTGAGGAATGTAAATGATTTGTGCTGTAACAATGTGCTTAGCATGCAATCTAAATAATCTGCAGTCAAAGAAATATGTTTGTGCTATACAAAAGCAGATAAAACATGAATTTTAAATAATACACACATCTCATTCCAAACCGTTGAAAAGCTATTCGGTTTAGCAGTACGGAATAAGCTGACGTTCAGCACTGCCTCCCACCATTAATCCATCAGAATTTTCCGAATTACCAGGTAACAGGTATTTATGACATCTCTTCACCGCAGGGTGGCTACCCAAATGATTGCCTGTGCCCCCCCCCCCCCCCCCCCCCCCAAAAAAAAAACATAATCACCAAAAGATACTTAAAAAATGGCACTAGCTATTGGCCCTGAAATAAAACTCTTAAAACACCCAAATAACTCGTACAAACATGCCCAAACATGTTCTAGCTTATCCTGACAGTCAAGAGAAGCTATCAACACAAACCAGTTTAGTCTAAATGTAAAAGTTTTACCTACATGATTTACAATAACTCAAATTTTAAACAAACTCACACTCAGATACATGCTAATGTGGGTTTCCATTAGGATTATAAGCATTTTGGAGATTTCTGTCCCTGGTTAAACACATTATTTTGAATGCTCTGGCCCTTGGGAAGAATCAGTATAAGTGTTGCCTTGATTGGTTTAGTGACGGTGACATCACCAGCTTTTCCCACTCCACCTCGAGTTTAAATCAGCAAATAAAAGTATAAAAAAGTGACTTACCTGTGTTCGATTATTGGTATTTCTACGTAATTCCATTCCTGGGTTTGTATGCTAAGTTTTAAGAGTAATTCCTGGCGTGACCCCCCACTGAGTGGTCACTTATCCCTGCCACTATAGTGACCGGGGCCATGAAGCCGTTGTACTCCATAGCTTTACAAAAAGTGGGGCTTGTATATATAATTTTTTCCATTTTTGAGCATTTTAGCTTATTTTAAGACTAAAGGCATATGACGGATATCAATCTTTGGGCCCTCATGGCGATACGAATGCTAGAATTAGCATACTTTGTGCGTGAGTGTTATGTTATTCATGTAAACAAACAGGAAGCCTTGAACTGATTATATTTACAGTATATTTTTCACCCTTCCCCTAGCGGCCATATGGAAGCGCTGTTATTAATATGTTTATGTAAGTGAATTTATATTTGGATAATGTTTAATGGTTTGAAACTTGTGTATTGATATAATTGGTCTCAGCTGGATTTTTTACATCATGATCTTTCTTGTTGATGTTTTTGAAACTTGGAAACTAGTAGCCCTACCATAGACGTGTCAGTCTGGGGGTGGGACGGGAGGGGGACAGGAGGTTTTAACCATCTATCAGTACAGAATATTTTAAATAACATTTTACAAATATCTTAAAAAATACTTTTTAAGCGGCTTCACAGAAACACAAAAATTTCAGATTTTTTTTAAAAATAATTAGTCTTTTATTCCCTATAAAGACACAGAAGTTGGAGCACATTTTATTGAACAGTCACTGAATACATCAGTAATATTTAATAGATCTGTACACAAGACCATCAAAGAGAAATCTGAATCCACGGTCATTACTGACAACAAAAGGCACTGTTTTAGACTTTTCAGTCGAATCCTTTTAATCAATGGAATTTTGACATGCATAAAAAAAATTTGAGTTAATGAAATATTGTCAGAAAAGGAGGATTAAAAGGGTGCCTTGGTGTTGTAGCTACAATTTAAGGAAACAAAACGTCTGTCTTTCTGTTTCACATGGTGCTATACAAGTCTAAACAGTAGCAGCTGGTTGCATGCTGGTACAGGACTCTCGCCTGCTCGCCAATCAATGTGACATTCACTACTCCTCAGATCAGCCAGAGGGCATCCAAGCTGATAGAAAGAAACTACCAACAGCTGGGCTTACAAGACAATCAGTCTACAGAGTAATTTCCATCTAATCACATCTGCAACACTCATTGTTTGAAGCCAAGATTGTGATTCCTGGGGTAGGTTCTAGGTGACTCTTTGATAGATATGCAGTTGAGATGGATGGAAAAAGATGGAAAATTATTTTTATGTTTTTACTAGTGCTGTCAAACGATTAAAATTTTTAATCAGATTAATCATAGGGTTGCTGTGGATTAATTTAGATTAATCACGATTAAATATCATTCATTTTTAATCTATATTAATCGCATTTCATTTTGTATGAGCAAACAGATTCAAGAAAAAAGGGAATATATATGCACTTAACATGTTTACTGAACATCTTGAACACGAATCGAAATGCAATCCATCTGCCACAGAAGTGCAATACCATGGACCCATATCAAAAAGCAACATTTTTTGCATAGCCCGACAACTTGTCGGATTTAAGGTACCTCAGTTTAAATGGTCTTTATCTTTTTTCACTTACAATTAGCCCAAACTACTGTAAATCTGACAAATAATCCGACTAATCATGAAATCCAATTCTAGCCTGGTTAATTGCCATTGTAAGCAATATCAGTTTATAACACATTACGCGCTGTGCTTTACGTAGAAAACTCCGTAGCAACACGTCCACAGATAAGTTGGACGGTATAGAGTGTGCGACCGATTTAATGAGCCACAAATGAGAAGTAGCGCTTAAACAGTATAAAACTACAACTTTTCCTTCTATTGATAAAGGCCACAGACATCTTGGATTCTGAACTCGGGATGCTCTGTGCTGCTCTGAGATATTTCTCAGAACTCCAAGAAACGGGAGCGTGCATGTCGTCACTTCCGGCTTCAAAACTCGGAATGTGACTCGGAATATGAGTTCCGAGGGCAAATGGAACGTACCAAAACTGCCCGAAATGGGTTGACAGAGACATTTCAGGGATTTTGAGTCATTCTGCACTACAGATGGGTTAATTGCGTTAAAAAATTTAATCAGATTAATCATGATGATGGATTAATCCACGTTAACCCGTTAATTTTGACAGCCCTAGTTTTTACCTATTATACTGAGGCATGTTCAATATAACAAAATCTCAATATTGCAATAACAATAAAGGGAAAAGACTAACTTGAGTGTCGAAAAAACTGTGTTGAGACATATCACAATTTTTTTTTTTACATAGATGAGAAGAGGAGATCCTTTCGGAGCAGTAAGTGTGACATGATTAGCCAGGGTTCCAAATGTGGGGAGTTTCCATGTTCTCCCCGTGTCATCGTGGGGTTTCCCCCCCACAGTCCAAAAAACATGCTGAGGCCAATTGGAGTTGCCAAATTGCCCATAGGTGTGCATGTGTGTGTGAATGGTGTATGAGTGTGAGTGAATGGTGTGTGAGTGTGAGTGAATGGTGTATGAGTGTGCCCTGCGATGGGTTGGTGCCCCATTCTGGGCTATTCCCTGCCTTGCGCCTGTAGCCTCTGGGATAGACTCTGGACCCCCCGCAACCCCCCACAATGTTTTATACTTACAGAAAATGGAAGGATGGATCCAAACGTGTATTTGGTACAGGGTCATATGGAGATAGAGCTTAAGGCTGCGATCATTTTAATGGTACACCTTAAATGGGATGCCAGCCTATAACAGGCACACAGTCACAAACACACAGTGTGGCCAGTGAGACCAACTAACCTCACTACATATTGTTGGATTGTAGGAGGAGTGCCCTGTGACACAGGGAGAACCTGGCAGATTTGAGCTTCGAGTCGGGAGGTGTGTGCCTGCACTTTGCTGTAATCAGCCATTCCACCCAGCGAGGTTCAGCTTTCTGAAATGTTCCACTGATGCGGAGTATATACGCCTGTGATTCAGAAGGGCTTCTGATCAATCCTTCTCATGAATTCAAATGTTCTAAAAGTGTATTGTTTGTAAAATAAAACACCAACGCATAACCTTCTGTGGGTTTTATCTCAAAAATATTAATCTTCTGATTTTGTTTTGTACAAACCATGTCTTTTGGTGGTAAATGTTTACACAGAAAATACTTCCATTTGTGCAATGTGACAGAGTGTCTGCAGAGATAATTTTCATGAAAAATATAAATATAATCAGTTCAAGATATTATAAAATTGACACTATGTTTATTTTTCAAAAAAAGTGAAATAATAAAAAGGCAAACCATTATTTGTCTCTTGAACATGGTCAGGTTTTTCTTACAATTTACAATTTATCCTGGAAAGTATGTCATAATAGAAATTATTGTCCTTTGATACATATTTGTGTGTGTGTGTGTGGGTTTGCATAGATCACATTTGAGGACCAAATTGTCCCCAAAGTGTGGTAAAACCTGAAATTTCCCTACTTTTGGGGACATCTTTTGAGGTCCCCATTTGGATAACCTCAGTTTTATAAAAATCTGTGAATGCAATCAAAAAAAGTAAAAATGCCAAAAGTCTTGTATTTGGGTTGGTTACTTATGGTTAAGGTTAGGGATGGGTAGGGGTTAAGGGTGTTGTGATTGGGATTAAGGTTTCTCCCATAGAAATGAATGGATGGTCCCCATTTAGATAGAAAGACCAACTTGTGTGTGTGTGTGTGTGTGTGTATATATATATATATATATGAAGCTTCTTTTATTACTTAAATAGTCTTGAGCGCTATGTGTTTG